GCATGTTTACGCATTTCACCACTATGACGTACACGGCGCTGACTGTCATTTTTGACAGGGCACCCCTTTGGTTCGTTAATTCGATGATCAATAACCAAATTGAAATTGAAACGCTTGATAAATAGAAAAACAGAAACTCTTCTCTATCTGCCTTCCTCTCTCATTTCTCCCGATTTGAATTGAACGGTGTGACAAAATGTGTGTAAACTATAACGAAATATTAACCAGCAAGTAAAAACACCCGCATTCGAATCGATTGAAAATGCAAAAACAAAAACAACAACACCACTCACAAAAAACACCTAACCTCAATATGAGACGATTTGACATAAAATTCAGTTTATCCGAAGTTTCATTTATTTTTGGATAAATTTCAGTAAACAAATTTTTTTTTTTCAATATTTTTGTGCGTTATACCGAGTCTCCGAGAGTTTCATATAAGACAGAAATTATATAAATTATGTCATACGCTTAATTTTTTTCTGATTCAGCAGAATATTAAGCATTCTCAAAAGTGTTAAATGAGTTGATTTTGTAAATAAAAGAAAATTTGCGGCTCACCGATTAGAGATACGATATCGATGTACGGGGTCAGAGTTGTAGTTTTATCAATGGCTCACTTTTGCACTATAACTTTCATTTAGTTCACTTTCTTTTTTTTCTTCGCTACACCATGTCCGGACAACGAATGATGCCGGTTTTATGAACAAATCTTTTCCAAACCAAAAAATTGCCAGAATTAACTGAACACACATACACCACCCACCTCCCACCACATGTATTTGGCATGCCGTTCTTCATAAGGCAATAAAGATAGAGATAGAGAGAGAGATCCGATTTTTATCTTTTTTCTTCTTCTCTTTGCCTCTGCTGTGGACAATAAAATGAATAATGGAAAAACGAAAAAACAACAACAACATCTATTTTTTCAATTGTTTTCTTTTCTACTTGTACAAAGAAAATAAATACAAACGGTTAAAAAAATCGCATGAAAAATATGGATACAAAAAAAATAAAAGAAGAAAAATTCGACCTTTTCTTTTGATGCTGTTGGCATTTTATTATTTCAGTGCGCTCTTTCTCGAAGTGAGTAGTGATGCGAACACAATGCCTGCACCAATAGGTCGATTGACATGATCATGCACAATAACCCATAACAATAAAATTGGTCACACAGACGATGTATAGTAATACTGAAGAGTTTCAACCATTAGCATCGGCAGTCACAACGACCACCAATGTTGAAGATGCACAATCACCATTGCGCACATATTGTTTCATTGCCATTGTGCCCTTTCAAGCCCAAGCACACACATACATGACCAAACGCATCACATCATTTATATAAACATAAAACGCATCACATCATAATAATTCGACTTATTTTGATAAGTTTTTAGACATAGACTACACTGCAATCGCTGTTGATATTCCTCGTGAAATTTCAAGTGCCGGTTCAAGGTAGATGTTCGGTCAGAAGAAAACTTCAAGCCACACATAGGACAATCCATTTTGTAGTCTATACTTGCAGATGGTACTAGTCGAAGTAATTTCACAATGCTCGCAGCATTATCGATAGTATAGCCAGTTATATAAACCGAATGATGTGACTGGCTGATGAACGTTGTTTCTTCTCCAGTCGCAAGAATCAATGCTAGCTTCATATTCGGTTTAGTTACATTGAAAGAGGCAATCAAAAATATGTGACCCGCTTTTAGAAGCCAAACATAGGCGGATGATACCGCATCACTCGCACTTACGTCGACTACTGCTTGTGTAATGTAGATGTTTTTTTCAATGCAGACGACACGAGATTCATTTGGTTTTATTTCGATGCCTACATGAAATGATAATTTGATCAGTTATTCCAATTGCAATGAAAGTACGTCTGACAATTAAAACACAGCCAAACAATGGCAAACTTTCCGAATAATAAATACAATTTATAAAAATACTCACCCCACAACATTTTTATTCTTGTTATATTCGGTGAACTTATGTTCAGATAGTAGAAAACGCTGCCGCTATAGTAATACTATATTAACAGTGCCTATAAATAGTTACTATTTGTACACATTTCGATTGTGTGACTGCAACAATTTTTGCGAACTCCAATGTGAACAATGTAACTCTTTGTATGTAGATTTTAAATATAAAGAGTCGCATTGTTCACATTGCAGTTCGCAAAAATTGTTGTGGTCACACAATCGAAATGTGTACAAATAGTAACTATTTATAGGCACTGTTAATATAGTATTACTATAGCGGTAGTGTTTTCTACTCTCTGCTTATGTTATTTGATCTGAAATGATCTGAATGACAACATAACCTGTTGGTGTTGTCCGATTAAACATCATAAGTTATCGTTTGAAAAATATTTCATCTAAACACTTTAATTATTTAATTTAAAATTATTAAAAGTTTATTATTAAATATAAAAATAAAAAAACTGATATAAAAACAGTTATATTTTAAAAAATAATTATATTTTGTGATTTGAAAAGAAAAAAGATGTATGTTGTTGTTTGTGAAGCCGGTTTACAGTAGAATAGTGTTGCAATATTATATTTATTGGTTGTCAAACCCGGTCAAACATCAAACCGCTTTTAACAGGCCGACACAATCGAACCACAAGCTAAGCAAAAACACAAGCTATGCAAAATGTTGTGGGGTATGTACCAGACAATATATTGAATTAACTGGTCAGTTAAGCTGACAGTACGTTAGCCGGCTAAATGGGCTAAAACAATAGACGTTATTGTTTTAATGATGAATTACTTTTCTTGTTTTAATGGAAGTGATTGTTCATTATAACAATAACTTCTATTGTTTTAGTCCATTTAGCTGGCTAACGTACTGTCAGCTCAACTGACCAGTTAGTTCAATATATTGTCTGGTATGTATCATACATGGGCACATGGGGGGTGTAAGCCCGGATAACCCCCCCTTAAATCGTCCGAGCTATTTAGGCCATTGCCCATCCCCTCCCATCACCCCCAAGGGAGTCCCCCTACACAATTTACGAAAATTTCGAAAACTACCCCGAAATTGGATCCATACCCATCTAACCCCAAAAATAATTACATATTCGGATTCCTCGTGAAAAATTATTTATAGGACAATGTATGGTCAATCTCTCTTAATCTACAATTTACTCCTTCTAACTTGTACCTTCAATTCGGGTCGAAAAGTGAAAATATTCATCCCTAATGACTCAACTGGGTTTCTTCTAATGAAAGTTACGCATATCAATGTAGTTTCCATTGGCATATAGTTTTGGCCGCCCTGAATCACCCAATTCGGAGGGCGGGGGTTCATTTTTATATTATTTTGACCCCCACCACACACTAACTATATTGGAAAAGGAATGGGTACTTACCATTGTTACAATTTTCTTCAATGATTAATATTCAATATTATTCTTTAATCTGATGATTCTTCGCTGTGATGGATTTAGCTGGAATTAAGGTCCGTGGTTATGTTTGTCCCAAGCAGTTCCCTTTTGGTGGTAAATGGCTTCTTTTATCTTCTCTGGTTTTGGTTTATTATTATTATTATTATTTGTTTTTTTTTTTTTTAGCGAAGGTTGCTTCGTCTTCTTTTTTTTT